CAAAAATACATTATCTCATAGACAAATCCATTCTACTCAGGAAAAACAAAAGTTGGGAGATATTACAAAGATTTCAAATTAAGCCTCAATTATTTTATAAAATTTACCTTGAAATATCAGCTATGAAAATGTCTGGAAAAATTGTGCCCTGAGTAAGAGTCCATTCCTCAACCACTAAGAGCTGTGCGTTAATTTATTCAAGAATGTTGGAGGGGATCCCTGGGTGGCGCAGCGGTTTGGCGCCTGCCTTTGGCCCAGGGCGCGATCCTGGAGACCCGGGATCGAGTCCCACGTCAGGCTTCCGGTGCATGGAGCCTGCTTCTCCCTCTGCCTGTGTCTCTGCGCCCCTCTCTCTGTGTGTGACTATCATAAATAAAATAAAATTTAAAAAAAAAAAAAAAAAAGAATGTTGGAGCACTTGGGTGACTCAGTTAAGCATCTGCCTTCAGCTCAGGTCATAATTCCGGGTCCTGGGATTGAGCCCCACATTAGGCTCCCTGCTCAGGCGGAAGCTTGTATCTCCTCCTCTCCCCGGTTTGTGCTCTCTCTCAAATAAAATCTTTAAAAAATTTATCCAAGATTACGGCCTTGCAGGTTAGCCTTCAGGTAAAAGCTCCATGGAAACTGGCCACATGCTTAAAGAAATCAATTCCTGGTCAGCCTTAATACTTCCTACTCCCTAGTCACACGGGCAAGGCAGGCCTCTCTACCCATTCAGTGGCACAGTCTAGAAACAAGATTCTCCTGTTTCTCCCTTATCTAATCCATCATCAGGTTCTAGTAGCTCTTCCTCCAGAACATAGATCCAAACTGTCTAGCGCATTTTATATTCTAGTGCTCAATACCTACACACAAGGCTAACAGCTACCATACCGACTTGTTGATTACTTTGTTACTAGGATTACAGAATTATCAAAATGCTATCAACTTATATCATTATTTTTTTAAGATTTTATTTATCCATTCATCAAAGACACACACACACAGTGAGGCAGAGACACAGGAAGAGGGAGAAGCAGGCCCCATGCAGGGAGCAGGATGCAGGACTCCATCCTGGGCCCCCAAGATCACACCCCAGGCTGAAGGCAGCACCAAACCACTGGGCCACCAGGACTGCCCAATTTTTATCATTCTTAAGCTTCCTTAGCAATGGTTTCTTTTTAAGATTTCATTTATTTGAGAGAGCGAGCCAACAAGAGCACGAGTGGGGGTGGGGAAGGCAAAGGGAAAGAGAGTAGACTCCCTGCTGAGCAGCCTGGGATCATTGATGCTTAACCAACCGGGCCACTCAGGCACCCCTCTAGTAATGCTTTCTTAAAGGTGTATTCATACCCTTTTCAAGGCACCTTCCCAATCTTGAAGTATAATAGTTTGATGGTCAGTCTCAAGCTATCTTCAAGTATTTCAGAGGCTTTTTGAGTCCTGATGACCTAATGGCTATTTTGATGTGATAGTCTTCATTTATGTATATAGTTTCACTGTAATCCTGATTCACACTCCATAATCTCTGCTCTACAGTCTAAATTTAATATAGTTAAAAGTTTCAAATACTTTTCCAAGTTCTATTTGTAAATATCTTGAGTTGGAAGAAAATGAACCTTGAATGCATTCCTAAACATGGAAATAACCACAAATCAACATTATTTATGCTTCTATTATAATAACATGTTATTTGTGCTTCTTTCTCTGGACCCTTCCCTTGAAGAGAAACTCCAATGAAAATTAGTTGGTAAGACGAGAAGTTGGTTTTGGCCACTTTCATCTAGATATAGATAGGCAAGAGAAGATTAACCTGGCTGTGGTAAGGTAATATAAGGCATTCCAAAGTCAGTAAGAAAACTTCTATCGTAATTGTTTTTTATCTCTCATTTCATCTCCCCAAATATTTATGCCTCTCACAAGTACTGACATTTGGGCACTTGCCTCTTCTCATCTTCTAGATTGGAGAATCCTAAGAACTTGTTTTACTGATTTTTGCAGCTTCTATAGTAGTACCATGCTTTCCACAAAGCTTTATACATTATAGTTATTTAGAATTTGCAAATTTACCTCCATCTCCAGGAAATAAGATATACGTAACACCCTAATCAGTGTTGCCATTCAGACGATTTTTCACTTATATTTCCTTTAAAGTTAGTTTTATTGTGTTCTTTCTGTGATCATTCTTTAAATGAATGTCCATTTAATTTGACCTTTCACCCTTGCATCTCCCTTCTATTTTCAATTTCCTTCTTCCTGAAGGAATATCATTGGTATTTCTTTCGCTGAGCAGGTCTTTCATTTGTATTATGCATAAAGGAATATTTTACACACTGCTGTCCTGAACCTCAAACACCTAAAGGATTGATTTTACTAATTTTATTTTTACTTTTTAAAAAAAGATTTTGACAGAAAAAGAGAGCAAGAGAGCACAAGCAGGAAGAGCAGCAGAGGGAGAGGGAAAAGCAATGCTGGACTCAACCCCAGGACCACGACCTGAGCCCAAAGGCAGATGGCCAATCTATTAAGCCACCCAGGGACAGCCCCCTTATTTTTTTACGAATTTATTTTTTTTAAAGAAGGCTCCATGCCCAGTGCAGAGCCCAACACAGCTTGAACTCACAACCCTGACTCAAGACCTGGGCTGACATCAAGAGTGGGCACTTAACCCACTAAGCCACTCAGGTGTCTTTTTCTTTTAATTTTTTTTTTTTTTTTTACTAATTTTTGTTGTATTATGGAGGTTTTTCTCGTCCAGTTCTGAAATTAATCTTTGAAATTGAATGTCATAAAATAACATTCATGGGTACCTATAAGGCTTTAGCCTTAACACATAAAAGCCACACCTAACATAAAAACATTAACTACTAAACAATTAAGGAACAATAGCAGCCAATTGCCAATTCAACACAACTACTTTATATGCAACTCTAAGTAAATACTTTATACTACTTAAGTACTTGAAAGTTAATGTTGATTTCTCGGCAACAATGCAAGACTGAACATAGCAATCTAATTGTGCTTGCTCTTGCATCACCACTGTGACCACCCAGATTTTTAACCATCTTAAAAACTGTGAAATTGAGATATTTATCAACATTTGTTCTATGAAAACTTCAAACAGCGCTTTCATTTAAAGTTAAATCATGTCATGGTTATATAAATAGAATTTTTATTAAAAATATTTACCAGAGATGCCCGGGTGGCTCAGCAGTTGAGCATCTGCCTTTGGCTAGGGCGTGATCCTGGAGCCCTGAGATGGAGTCCCACGTTGGGCTCCCTCCATGGGGCCTGCTTCTTCCTCTGCCTATGTGTCTCTCATGAATAAATAAAATCTTAATAAAAAATTTATCAAAAAAAAAATCGATGAAAGATCTTTTTTCATTTTTGCAAATCTTTTAAGGTCTGACTTCATAGAACCCAGTTGAATTTCTGATCTACTTGTGCATTCAGCCTGTTGTTGAGCTACATCTTGGTTCAAGTATATCATGAAAATCCCATCTCACACACATAGATGGCTTTTTGTGTGGACAAGAGCATTCCTCCAGCTTTTCAGATAATCTATATATTCTTTTGATACACCAAAAGCTGAGTTTCCTAAAGGTTGATTCCAACATGGAAGCCTGATATGATGGATCTTTCTGCATTCTTCTATCGAAATCCATTGGTCTGTCATGAGTAATCCCTTATCAACTTGCATTGTCATCAGAAAATACTAATTCATGAAGGTATGCAGATCTTCCAAGTGTTGACATATTTTAGCATACCTCAAAAATAATTACATACAGGGATGCCTAGCTGGCTGGCTGTAGAGCACATATGAATCTTGATCTCAGGGTCGTGAATTCAAGCCCCACGTTGGGTGTGGAGCCTACTCTAAAAAATTTTTTTTAATTACTTTAATATCTCCAATGAGCTCAACAGAGATCTAGTAGTAGGATGCTAAAATTTGGTCTCAGATACAAGTTTTCCAAAATCCTAGTTTTTTTGGAAAGCTCAAGTTTTATCACTGACAAATATTTTATTTTCCTTGAAATGCCAGGATGACATAGTTGAGAAAAATGTCAATAATTTCTTCAAATAAAAAATTATGTTCCAAGGGACCAATTCCACGATGGCATTTGGACTATCATTGCTTGTATATTTCGGCTTCAAAATCTTCTGAAATGTTTGAGAGTTTCCAGCAGTAAAGAATAATACAATGATCAATTATAATGACCATCACAGTTTGAAGCCATTGCCTTGACTGGTGCTATGGTGCCAGCTGTTTCCCCAACCATTGCTTTTCTAATTCAATCTTTTATTGACATGAAACCATCAATTATGCAAGATGAGCAAAGCAGCTTAGTATTTTATGAGAAGCCCAGTCTGAAGTCTTCAAAAAGTTTTTAAACTTGTAAAATATACAAAAAAGTTACTATCTTAAGCATTTTTAAGTGTACAGTTCAGTAGTGTTAAGAATATGCACATAATGGCAAAATTGAAACTGTATCCTCAAACTCCCTTTCTCCCTACTCTCAGAAGTATATTTTTAAAATATGAACTATACATATAACTTTTGAGATTTTATGAAAATAACCAACACTTTTCTAGTAGTCATTAAGTAAAACCCAGAAACCTTTCACGTTCCATGTTTTCTTTTGCTCTTCTTCGGAGTGTAACCTGAAAATATTTACTTCTAACAGATTAGTTAAAATTTCTTTTTAAAACACCCTTCTAGGGCAGCCCCGGTGGTGCAGCAGTTTGGCACCGCCTGCACCCTGGGGCGTGATCCTAGAGACCCAGGATGGAGTCCCACATCGGGCTCCCTGCATGGAGCCTGCTTCTCCCTCTGCCTGTGTCTCTGCCTCTCTGTCTATGAATAAATAAAATCTTAAAAAAAAATAAAAATAAAAATAAAAATAAAATACCCTTCTAAAATGTGCCCTGTTGTGAGGATAGAAAATCAAATACAGACTATGATATATTTATATATATTTTAAAAATAAATGTTTATTTCAAGTATGAAAAGTAATGTTTAAACATTATCCAAAAATTATGTCCAGCTTAACAAGTACAAAACAAGACTTCTGACAAAGTTTACAATTAGGTATAAAATACTTAAGAATATACTTTGACATTCACAGTGAGGGTTTTTAAAAAATAAGTTTTGCTAATAAGCTTTAGAAATAAACATATTTACAGTCCCAGCTAAAATAAGCAAGTACTTAACTGAGAACAGCCCTCCCTCAGGATGGATAGTTAGCATTTCAAAATAAACTGGTAAATATTGCTCAATAATGTCAAAATTCAATACCTTATGGTTTCCCTGACAAATATCGTCTATTTCTTATATCTGGTATGCACAGGTAAGATCCCCAAGCCCTATTAAATAACTTCAATGATTTACATAACTAAGTGGTAACTAAACTCTCTTGAGATTTTATCATGGCAATCCCAAGCATTTCCAGCAATACCTTCTGAACAGAAAATGGCAGAAATTTTCTGGTGTCAATTATAGAACCATCAAAAAAATTAGCCTCAGAATTATTTTAAAGGACTGCTATCAAGGCTTCTGCTTCTCTTTTCCATATACATCTTTTTGTAGGTTTGAAACATTGCCTTTGAATTTTTTACTGGATTTTGTAGTGTCTCAAATCCATCTGCACCGAAGCTTCTCTTCGAGAGTCTTGAATTAGCCAAAACATTATTATCTAAGAAAACAGAAACTTTATTACTCAGTATTAGTGACTAATATATAATCAATTAAAATGAAGAGGGAAAACCTGCAATCTTTTTTGGGATACAATTTAGGACAAGGAGCTTGATAAATTATGGCTTTTAATCTTAGAATGGTAAATTATACACACAGGACTTCTTGCCTCTCTTTTGGGAACTATTTTCTACTCTCATGTCATCTTCACAGTCCAGGGCTCTTCCATTCTACTTTCATTTGCAGATTATTATAAATGTGACCTTTTTAAACAGCTATTTAAACTAGCAATGTAAAGAGCACAAGCACAAGCTGGTTCCACTCAGTGAATGGAAAAGACTATTTTAATATTCTGGCCTTGCTACATATTAGGTATTCTAAGACATGTCTGTAGTTTTTGTTTGGTTAGATCATTTCAGTGTTGCATTAGTCTCATTATCTTTTTGATGGGTCCAATTTTCCTACTTCTTATATTTCTAGATGTACCTCTACATCTCAGTAGCCATTCCCCCTATTTACAATTCCCATGGTTTTCATTCCTGCTCTAGCCATTCCTTTCTGTATAATAATCTTGTTTTACCCTTTTCTAAGAAGTCAAGTATTCTGTCCTCTTGGTCCTTCAACTGTTTCAAATTCTTGTACATCCTTGTTAGCATTCTTTTTGATGTAAGCAATACTGATAGCTGAGATGGGTCCCTAAGTCATTTTCCACTGAATTGTTACTTCCCTCTTCTCTGTACTTTACCCTGACTTGATATAGTTTCACATCTTGTTCCATCTACACTCCAACCTTTGCCAAATTTAGATTAGATGTATGATTATCTAAAAAGTTTCTTCGCATCTGTTTGGGAATTTATGACATTTGTTTTTGTTTCTCTTCACACTACTTCACATTGTCCACCCTTCATCTTGGTATTTGTTCACATTTTTCCTGAACCTTATCAGGCTTTTTTGGATTACAGGTGAACTTTATTTGTCTTTACTTTTTAATTGAAATAAAACTGACATACAGTGTTATATTAGTTTCAGGTACAACCCAGTGATTCGATCTTACACTTTTGACAGAGCTGTGACTCATATTTTGGCTTTTCTCTACCATACATCAGATCTCCTAGAGCTTGTGCCCCAACTTGTATTTTTTTTCATCGTGATTCTGAGTATTGATGTTTATTCAACTTCAGTTTATTGCTCATACTATTTGTGGTTATCTTTAGAATTCTCTTTTAGTTCATGCTTATCTTTGGTCAATCTGTACAGGCATCCATATTTTCAGATTCAGGTTCCAACCATGCCTCTTACCTTCTCTGTGAGGTAAGGTCTACTATTTCCAAGGACCTTCCTTGCCTAATCTCCATGACCATTTCTATCTTTCTCATTTATTTTTTTAATTCCTGTGTTCCACACTTAGAAGTGTGTTCTCTACACTCAGGAGTCTTAAAATTCATTTTCCCCTCTTTCAACTGTTTTTCGGTTCTGATTAAGGGTGCATTTCTTCCTTCTTTGAGTCTTCTATTGAACTTAGTTTTTTCCTATATGCACCTTTAATACATAGAACTCAATTTCTATAAGCCTATGGATTTAGGCTATCTTCTCAATTTTCTCACACTCCTCTCTTTTAAGAAATGTGCTTCTTTATTGTTGCTCATGGTAAAATTCTGCTTCCTTCCATTCTCAAGGAATTCTAAACCCTTATCTTTACATATTCAGTTAACCAAAACTAAGGTAAAACTCCTGAACTCTAGCTTCTAGTTCTCAATACGAAACCCTAAAAACAAAGTACATTCATTTCACTACTTAAATCAGATACTTGAAATCTCTGGCTTTTCTGGTTGGCCCTTGGCCCAAAATCCTCCCCTATAAAAAGAAATAAATTTGAACTAGGAGGCTCCATCTTTCATCATCAAAATAACTCAGATTCCACACTTAATTAACTTTGAAAAGTGGGGACCTATTTCAAGTCCCTATTCCGTTACTAGTCATGGAATTTCAATAAAATAATCTAACCTCCCAGGGATAAAATAGAAAACATCCTTGCCTATTTTGACCAGGGGCTGGCAAACAGGACATGGCCTGTAGGCCAAGCCTAGCCTCTACCCTGAGATGGTAAATAAAGTTTAATTGAAACATAGCCCATACTCATTCATTTATAATTATCTTCTCACTACAGTGTCAAGAGACAAGTATTTAAGAGACCTTACAATCCGAAAAACCTAATATTTACCATCTAGTCCTAGGGAGGGAGAAAAGTATGCCAACCCCTTACCCTACCTAACTCATGATGAGAAACATTTTCTTGTTAAGAGGAAATAGATCATGGTTTCCTTCTCCACAGCATGAGAAAAAATACCCCAAAAATATCTTCCAACCACTCGAACACTGAATCACTTTAAAAAATATGGATAAAAACCAAACCTCACAATTGTTTAACTATAATCCAGCTTCTAGATGACCAAGTGCCCAATAGATAAAATAAAAATTTAAATAGATGATAATTTTACCTATTTCTTGTTTGGCTTCTGGCATCCTTTTCTCCTCAGTTGTACCTCTTAACCAGTCTTCTTTTGTACTTTTTATTCCTGAAACTATGTAAATATTCATTTTCAGAGCTCTAGAAATTGCTATTCATCTCTTTTAGTATTGTGAAGGAAAATCAGGTGAACGTAAAATAGACTTTGAATGGTATTAAATATATTTATGTATAACACAAGTCTAAAAGAAGCCTGAAAAAAATGTTTTCTTCCATTTCAAGTGCCTGAGTATCTCATAAATGAAAAATAAGTTGCTTTAAAAGTTTGTTTAAAAAAAAAAGTTTGTTTTCACCATGAAATTATGTTTCTCCCACTTAAGTATCAACAAATGTCAAGGTACTTAAGGGCACAGGAAACAGAAAGTCACTCCCATTGCCCCCAACCCCATTTTTAATGTTGTTACACCCATGCCTCAGTTTCCAAAGATCTACTTCTATGGCCAAGTAAAATCACCAATGCTTTACAAAATGAATTTTATACCGTATTTTATCATATCCCTATCTCCTTTCAAGAAAATGTACCTTGTATTTACAACATAACTTTCTGTGCTCCAAGAGATTCCATCCCAACAGCACAGGAGAAATTAAGATTGCCATTCAAATCCTTTAGTTTTCCAATCTCAATTTCTCAACATGTTATTTTATATATATAATATCCACAACCCCTAAATGTTTCCTTACTATCACAAATCATTAGTCATCTATTTTCTTCTTTCTTTGCACTATGATGAGAATTCTATCATTCAGCCAACAGTAGCGCTTTAACTTTTCTGGTAACACAGTCGCCAACTATTTCAAAGATGACAATAAGTTTTATACATTTCCATATGTATAAAAGTTTTCACTAATATATAATGATTATTTCCTCATATCTAGACTAAAATTTCAATTCACAGGGCTTTGAAATGACAAGTCCAAATGAGAATCAACGAAACACATGAAATAATGTAAAAACACTTTCCTAACTTAGCACAAAGAACATTTTCCATAATATAGGCTTCTTGGTGAAAAAGGAAATCTTTGTATTTGGCAAATCCTACAATTTTACATACCACTTGTCATCAATACAAATGGAGTACAATTTACAGGAAGTAAATAGTGCCCAATGAACCAAAGATTTAGAAAAACAAATACCAAGGAATGGCAAATGCATTTAAGTCTTTGCTAGCTACCCAGATGGCATAAGTAGTGCTAACCCACTGTTCACCGACAATGCTTTAGTGTTGGGAGACACCATCAAAAAAATCATACTAGACCTTGCACAGGGGCTTCTTCCTTCCTAGGACAAGGCTGCAGATCCTTCCAGTCATCAACAGAATTTGTATTCTTAATCAGGACATCTGGACATAACTTAAATTCCAGCATGTTTGGTTTTTCTGTGGTATCTTTCACAGGTAAGAGGCTCTGAGGTTTATTTTCTGGTCTCTCTTTATTAAACTTCCTTGGTGAACTGTCTAATTTTGTGAGACAAATGCTCTCGTGCTCAGTGCATTTAAACGCAACTCTGTTCAGATACATTTTCCTTTGATCCTTTGACTGGGAAGGCATTTGACTGAATTCCACTTCACTGTTTGTACTGTTTAAATTTTTGTCTAACTTGGTTTTATCAATCCACATTTTCTCAGGTTGATTTCCACCAACTATTCCCTTAGCATCCCTTGAAATGTGTGCTTTAGACTCCTCTGAAGAGTCAATCTTGAGGTTTTTACCATGGCTTGCACAAATATTTAATGATTCCTTAGGAGTCTGTACACTGCTATTGTGCCTTTCATTTGATTTCTCCCAACTCCCTACTTGCGTGGAAAGTTTATTAGACTTCATGTATTGAGAATCACATGGTAAGTTTCTCACACAGCTTTTCTTTGATGCGTTGCTACCCATTGCTTCTTTGTGTTTCTGTCTTTGCAAATATTCCTTTGGTGTTAGAACTTTATTAATTTTAGATGAGTTACCCTTAGAGGCTGTGGATTTAACATTTGACACAGTCTTTTCTTTAACCCTGGCTCTTTCATTTGGGATTGACAAAATGTTACATAATTTAAATGTTCCATCCCCATTTTTATTCTGCTCTTGTTTATCATATTTCTTCTTCTTTATTTTTGAATCAAGTATGCTCCCATCATCTAACTTCCTTTTATCCGAAACTTTGAGTCTCAAGCCACCTGCTTTCAATCTTATTTTCTCTGAGGATACCGATTGTACCAAAGAACCATTTTTCATATGTAAATCTTTATTTTTATTTGTCAAGAAACCTGCCTTTGTTTTTAGTGGATGTGAGTTTTGTGCCATGAGCTTTTGGTGCAGGCTCTCTTGAGAAAATTTTGTCATTTTATTACTGGTGTGAAAAGTTATCTCATGAAACTGCAGTTTTCCTTTTCTTTTGTGACTTTGCATGGAATCTAGTTTTTTATCACCTTTAGAAAAAAACTGACCTGATAATTCTTGTTCTGTCCTCAGTGATTTGTGTTTTGTTTTGGGCATTTCATTTATATTTTTGCCTTGCTCTGTTTCAGGAGAATGGTTTTTCTTATCTGGAAAAGTCAAAGGAATCTTCAGATTGTTATTTAGAGGACTCTCACATCCACGAGGGACATTTCTATCAGAAGTTCTTTCTCCTTCCTTACAACTGTTGATATTCAAAGGTGAAGACTGATTTTCCCCTTTGTCTTCTTTTGAAGCTGAGTTATTGATGCAATTATATTGACACTGGGGTATTCCTTCATAAACCATAGACAGCCACCCCAATGTACAGCAACCAACATCATCTTTCTCTGAATCCATTATATTATCATCAGTCTTTCCATCTGTATCTGCTTGTGGGTCACACTGACTCCCTTCTATTTTTACAGGCTCTTCTTTCTGATGTTCTGTCAACTTGTCAACCTCACAGGGTGGGTCGTCATGTTCAGGAAATAATTCTTTCATTTGCTCAGAGTTTAATACCGTAATCTGTATTTGATCTGTTGAGTCCTTGGAGTCACAAACAGTTTGATCTTTTGAGATTTGGTTGGTTATCTGTTGGGCCACAGAACCTTCCTGTGTGTTCACAGCTTCAATACCATAGGGAAATTCTTTTAAAAGTTCTGACAGCTGATCGTGTAGGTATGAGAAAGATGCCTTATCACTGAGAATTTCACTTCTTGCAGGATCTTGGGCAGTATAATTGCAGGACGCATCACCTTCCTGAGGAATAGCAGACAATGAACATGTATCATTAGCTGTGCTTCCTTTTTTAGTGACATGTTCCACTTTGCTTTCCTCTAGAATTTCACTGTTGGCTTTAACATACTTCAAAGATAACGATTCTGGATGCTGTGGTGATTCTGCTGGTCCAGTTATTTTATGTGAAACATCTGCGCACAGTGAAAAATTACCATTTTGAAAACCAAAGTCTTTATTTTCAGTGAGGCTGTCTATTTGTTCTATTTTACTAATCACTTGATGATTTGGTAGAGAAGATTTCTGTGGCTCAACCCTTTTCAAAGGAGGCAAGTTGAATATCTCTGCTATTTGGGAATTATAAGATGTATCACCTTCAACAAGAGAACAAATATTGTCAATATGTAACATATCATCAGTAACAATATCACTGTTCCTTGACTTATGTGAGGCCTGCTGTTCAGTCACAGAACAGTGGGGATCTGGTTCGGATTTGATATTATCTCCTTGATGGCTATTAGGTGTATCTTCTGAATTAGTCGATTCATTTTTATCTTCCTTCTGAACTGATGAGAACATCTTTGTATTTGTTGTGGTATCTGCTACTGGTTCATTAACATTAGCTTTCAACGCAGCAGTAACATTGTTATTTTCTGCCAACTGATTTTGTAAGCTACAAACACTGCCTTCTTTAATAACTGGATACAGTGTTTCAGGTACCGCTTCAGGTGTTACACCTTTGGCAGACAATGTTTTGACATCTGAAAGAATTAAGGGTGACACTACAGCAACCTGAAGTTCTGTTCCCTTTGTAACAGTTGCACTGGAAGACTCATAATTCTGTACTACTGTTGACAAAGTTGTTTCTTGGGAAGTGTTTACCATCTTATTCTGAGAATTTCCTACAACTAAAAATGGACTCTTATCACAGGTTTCCACAGGCTTTAAAAATCCAACTGCTGTTCTGTTTTTTGCCTCATTATACTGTTTTTCTTCTGTAGGTTCTTTAGGTTGCTTTTTCCACAGAGAAAGACATGTTGCTAGCAATTCCATGGAAAAGTGATGGTCACTTTTAGAAGACATTTCACTTGAGGATTTCTGTTCAAGGCAAAAGGAGTTGTCTAAAACCTTGGTATTTATATTACAAGGACTTGGAGTTTCCACGGTTTTCAAATTCGTTTGGTTACCAGTGACTTGGGTATTTGGATTAATTTCAAAACTATGTGGTTTAGAGTCCTGAATAGTTTCACTAGTATTTTTAAATTTCTCCTGTAGTTTATCTTTACATGTAAGTAAACTGAGAATCAGCGTATTTTTATTTGGGTATTTTGAAACATATTCCTCAAAAGATGTAGACCGAGGAACAGAGGTTGTTTCAGAATTTGTTGGCACATTTGGTTCAACGTTGACATTTCCTGATGAAATCTGGGTGTTATTTAATGTTGCCTGGGTAATCTCAACAGTTGATGCCTTTAAAGAAGTCCTAACTTTCATATCATTTAACTTGTCTGGCATTGGTAACTTTTCTGAATAGACAGAATTTCGTAAAGCAGAATTCACTTGGTTACAATTTCCCCAACTGAGGTCTTGAATGTTAGAATTCATTGTAGTGTGTGTTCTACTTGTTTCTTTTGCAGATTCCATTATGGTTGGTGGCTTATTCTCTGGAGTCAGTAGGGTTACCTGTGGCCCAGACTGGATTTGGACATTTTGTTTCACAGACAATTCAGAATTTGGAGCTAATTCATTGTAAGGGGTATCAGTTGTTTTAATACAACCTGCTGCCATCAAAAGATTTTTATTAATTTTAATTTTCCTTGCAAGTTCGGAAAACTTCTTTTTTATTTCTACTAATGTTTTAATATCCCTCACTAACTTCTCTTTTGTGGCATTTGTGTCCAGTATTTGATTTGAAGATAGATCACAAGAGTCTACGCTTCTCTCTTGATTATTCTGAGCAAGGGTCTGAACACCATCCACAGAAGATCTAACAGGTTCAGTAAAAGGCCGAGTGACATTAGTATTTACTTTCAAGTTACAGGAATTTCCAACTGTGCTGACATTTTCATTAAGGTTTTGCCAATGCTGTTGAAAGTTTCTAGGAAAGTCTCTCCTCATTTCAGGTAAGTGCATTTCTTGACTCTGAGAAACACCCAGAGAACTCTGTTTAATAACATGCTGAGTACTTTGAAAAGGCTGGCTTACATATCTACAGTCAGAAGGCGGAGGAGGTGGTCTTTTGTCAGTATGAGTAACTGCATATTGATAGGACTGTACACTTGCAGTCTGCTTTGACTGTAAAGTCCGTGGAGAATCTGGAGGGTGACTATTTTTCATCTGCAATGATGTAGATGGCATAGGATTTTGTTTCTGAAGAGTGGGATCTTGCAAAAAGCTTTGTGATGGGTAATTGTATTGCTTTGGAAGTGATCTGTAATCTGGGTAAGTCAGGCCACTGGATGTATACTGTTGTGCCCAATCAGCCTGTCGTTCTGATAAAGATGGGTTAAGTCTTGGGGCTCCTTGATAAGTTACAGGAACTCTTGCAGAATTAGGAGGGACCATTTGTAGTTGCATAGAATAGGAATCTGATGATACAAACTGATTCTGTAGTGCATGTAAATTAGGTGTATTAGTTCCAAAACCAGTTTGATGGGACACAGTTGCCCCTGTATGAGAAAGCATAGAATTCCTCATTTGAGAGTTCAACCATATATTTTGTGTAACTCCTGAAGACATTTGCAAATTGTGATTTAGTTGTTTGGATCCTTTAACGTTTGCATATGTGATTCCTTCTACTGAAGTTTGTGAGGCCACAACTGTCCCATTATGCATATCAGGAATAGGGATTTGCTGAGGAGCTGGATAATTTCTGATGTTTAGCAGTGGCTGTGAAACTGTATTTGAATTACCAAGAAACATACATGCTTCTTGGTTACTTCCAGGATAGTTTAAAGAACTTTGAGATGTTGTATTAAGTGTATTTATTAAAGCCTGTTCCAAAAAAGGTGACTGCTTTTTAGGATACTGGGGTGGTAAGGTGACATTCTCTGGTTTTACATTCCAATTCATTGTTGATTTGATGTAGTAGCAGTGTATTAAAAGTCAGTTGTTCTGAATGTCAGGAATCTGTAGGAAATAAGGATCTTTTATTAAAAATTTATCTACATAAAACTTCCCAAGAAAATTAGTTTACCTTGATACCAATGCTATGTCTATCATAATTCCAGAAACCTCAGATCAAAGCTTCATCTTTAATTTGGGGAAGAGAAACAAAAGAGCAAAGGAGGATACAATAAATACGGCACATATAAAAAAAAATTGGGGTGTTTTACAGGCATTCATTCTACATAATACATTTAAGTATTTTGTTTGTTACACTGAAGTGGCAACTACTTTCTGCTTTTATTTATTCTAACAGGCTCTTTATTATGAGTAACCCATGCTCACTGAAACAAAACGAACAAGTCAAACACATGGTAAAAAGTCCTTTTTGTCTATTCCCATTGTCTAACTCCCTAGGGGGGTCTACTGCTACCTTCCCTTTCAGAAAACTTTATACATAAAAAGCAAACACGTGAAGAAAACCCTGTCTTTTTGTCTGATTTTCGTTACTGTATCTAGGATACCTTATCATTTCGCTACAAATATATTCATTGGGGATCCCTGGGTGGCGCAGCGGTTTACCACCTGTCTTTGGCCCAGGGCGCGATCCTGGAGACCCGGGATTGAATCCCACGTCGGGCTCCCGGTGCATGGAGCCTGCTTCTCCCTCTGTGTCTCTGCCTCTCTCTCTCTCTCTCTCTCTCTCTCTCTCTCTGTGTGTGTGACTATCATAAATAAATAAAAATTTAAAAAAAAAATAAAATAAAAATTAGACTGGGACATAAACTCCACATTTATCATAATAAGCTAACCTAAGAAAAGAAATGATGAGAGTGAAATAAAATAATGAACAAAAATGCAGAGATTCAACAAGTCACAAGGTAATTCTTTAAAAAAGTATTTAAAAAATAAAAATCAATAAGCCTCTAAACAATACTGATCATGACATTTTATTTTATTTTTTTTTAATTTTTATTTATTTATGATAGGCACACAGTGAGAGAGAGAGGCAGAGACATAGGCAGAGGGAAAGGCAGGCTCCATGCACCAGGAGCCCGACGTGGGATTTGATCCCGGGTCCCCAGGATCGTGCCCTGGGCCAAAGGCAGGTGCTAAACCGCTGCGCCACCCAGGGATCCCTGATCATGGCATTTTAAAAGTGCAATAGGGCAGCCCGGGTGGCTCAGCAGTTTAGCACTGCCTTCAGCCCAGGGTGTGATCCTGGAGACCCGGGATTGAGTCCCACGTCAGACTCCCTGCATGGAGCCTGCTTCTCCTTCTGCCTGTGTCTCTTGCCTCTTTCTTTCTCTCTCTCTCTCTCTCTCTCTCTGTCTCATGAATAAATAAAATCTTTTTTAAAAATGCTTAAAAAATAAAAATAAAAGTGCAATACTGGGGGTGAGGGGGTGCACCTGGGCGGCTCAGTTGGTTAAGTGGTAAACTCTTGTTTTTGGCTCTGAGTCAGGCTCCATGCTCAGCCAGGAAGTCTACTTGTGGAATTCTCTCTCCTTCTACGTGTATGCCTGCTTGCGTGCACACTCTCACTTTATCTCTAAAATCAATCTTTTTTTAAAAAGTGCAATATTAGCAATAGAGACTACTACTAGACCCTATAGATGTTAAAAATACTAAGTATTTATTTTGAATAATTTTATTCCAATACATTGCAAATTTAGAAGAATAGAGAAATTCTTTGAAAAATACACCTAACCAGGATTGACATGGTAATAATACCATTTAAGTACCAATTAATTGATAATCAAGTATCTTTTCACAAAGAAAATGCCAGACCAATACGCTTTGCTGGGGTATGCTAACAATCTATGAAAGAAATAATCTAATATGAAAAAAGATAAAAAAAGAGAACACTTCAGAGCTCATTCATTGAGGCTGTCATCCAAAAGCCAAAAAGAAGGAAAATTAGAAGCCAATTTTTTGCAGAAACGTAAAAACAAAAATCCTTACAAATCCTTACGTAAAAACAAAAATGCCTTACAAAATGTAAGCAAACCAAATGTGGGGACATGAAAATGATAACCTATCATGATCCAATTAGGATTATTTCAGAAATACAAGATTTGTCATTTGAAAATTAACCGAATAACAATAATTTTTAAAATCCTAAATTCAACAGATGCAAGAACTTTTCATAAAATTCACATTCATTAGAACAGTTTTATCAAACAACACAAATTTCCTTAATTTTGATAAATGTTAGCTTTAAACATTTAGGCTGACAATAAAACAAACACACCACTATTGTCCCTTCTATTCATCACTGTATTGGAGATCCTGGAAAGTGTAAGAATTGGGAAGGAAAACATAAAATGGACTATTCACAGATGTAATAGAGAAAATCCAAAACAATCTACAGATCTTTAAGACTTATTAAATTATGGGTCATAGTGTTCTCACTAAGAAGAAAAACAAGATTGAAAAGATTGAAGACGACATATATCCATCTGAATTAAAAATAGATCCCAGAAAAACTGGGAAGAAATCAGAGAGAAAAATCATAAGAGACTCTTAACTATATGAAACAAACTCAGGGGTGCTGGAAGGAGGTGACAGGGGTGATGGGGTAACTGGGTGATAGGCATTAAGGAGGGCACCTGATGTGATGAGCACTGGGTGTTATATGCAACTGTGAATCACTAAACTCTACATCTGAAACTAATGACACAGTATATGCTGGCTAAGGGAATTTTTTTTAAGATTATTTATTTATTTATTTATTCATGAGACAGAGACAGAGACAGAGAGAGAGAGAGAGACACAGAGATGCAGGCAGAGGGAGAAGTAGGCTCCACGCAGGGAGCCCGACGTGGGACTTGATCCTGAGACTCCAGGTCACGCCCTGAGCCGAAGGCAAACGCCAAACCACTGAGCCACCCAGGGATCCCCTAGCTAACGGAATTTAAATAAAAAATTAAAAAACAAACAAAAAGATCCTAGAAAGAGACATCTCTGTATTCCTCACATGCCTTCTCCCAGGAAAGCCCCTTAATAATGGCTGGCTGTCGGTAGAGCATGCAACTCCTGACCTTAGGGTCATGAGTTTGAGTCCCAGGTTGGGGACAGAGTTTACTCAAAAAATAAAAAAACAAAAAAACAAAAAAACAAAAAACAACTGGCTGATCAGGCAGAGGCGTAATACAAAGCAGCACTTCGAGTTAATAATGCCTAATAAATTCCCCTTAGTTCTTATGCATAGTTAGGGTGGGAGGCTGTTATGGAGTGAATTGTGTCTTTTTACCACCAAATTCCTATGTTGAAGCCCTAACCCCCTATATTTGGGGACAGGCCCTTCAGGGAAGTAATTAAATTTAAGTGAGGGGATAAGGACAGGGCCTTAATCCAACAGGACTGGTGTCCTTTAAGAGAGACAGCAGGCATTCGCACAGAGGAAAGACCATGTGAGGTCACACAGAGAAGGAGGCTGACTACAAGCCAAGAGGCCTCAGGAGAAACCAAATACCTCGATCTGTGAGAAATACAGGTGTTATTTAAGCCACCAAGTCTGTGATTACATGAGAGCAGCCGGTAGAGGACCAATGCAGAGGATATGGGTAGGCAGACAAACAAACGATCTGAGTAATTTGGGGTTACTTTATTCCTCTCTCTGCTTTGCTAGCACACAAGGAAACTAAAGCCTGGAAAATCATCCCTGAACTACCTATTTAGAGGGAAGGAGTCAAAAGTTGTCTGACTTTTTTTTTCAGATTGCAGAGTCTCTACTTCTAGATACAAAGTATTAAACTTTTTGAAAATATACTATAGTGGAGAGTACAAGAGACTGGATTTCCATGGTCTATCATTTTAATTTCACTTGAAAAAAATTAACTTTTTGCCAAAATCTCCACCCAACTCCAGCCATGGCACTTACCTGACAAATCCCAAGTATGGCTGAACTTAAGAATCTCCTTCTCTGCACAGGAGTAGCTGAAGTTTTCTGGGGGAAAAAAAAAAATTGATACAAGCCAGCCGACTAATTTTACTTTATGAACAAAAACAAACTTAACACTGCTCACAATTCTACTTCATTTTATTGAATTTTTTCCCCCATGCTCTATGACTTTTTCTCTCCTCCCTGGTCCCTAGCTACTCCAACCATGCTCCCCCTGCCCTAATTCAGCTCCTTATATTTCAGAGGGGAGAAATAGCACCAATTCTCCATCCTTCCATCATCAAATCTATAAAGCCCACCCTTGTAATTGGAATATGCATCTCCAATGACAGAGCTGACCTTCCTCCTACCAAATCTCTAAGTTTAAAATCCTACTCCCCTTCCCTTTATTCCTGGTATCAACCTGACTCTATCAGATTAGGCCATCCACGAAGGTGCACACATATTCTAGGACTGGCAGAATTCAAAAACAAACCTCATTGGGCCCCATACTCTTCATCTCCCTACCTCTGTACTAGTGACAGCCTTTTTAGTTTTAAAAATCACAAGCATTTAAAAAATATATCAGATTTTAAATGTTTAACACCTTAAAGGCAGATAAAAATGATTTTTAAAAGTAATTTGTGTTTTCATAAAATATACAGTAAAAAAAACCATTAAGGAGATTGAAATGTACATTAGAAAATATTCACTTAATGCAAAGAAATGTTAAGGGGGGGAAAGACACAAGATCTAGAAAACAAAAAGCATAAACAGCAGATGTAAATCCCCCCATATTAATAACATTAAATGTGACTGGATTCAACAATCCAAAAGACAGAGAAAGTCAAACTAGATTTTAAAAAAACTAAATGCTGTCTCCAGACACATTTTAGATCCAAAGAAACAAATACAGTGAAAATAAAAGAATACAAAAGGTATCAGATGATGCAAACACAGCAGCTGTGAGATATGTGGAAGGTCTATGCTAATTATCAGACAAAACAAACTAAACAGGAACACCTGGCTGGCTCAGCGGCTGAGCAGCTGCCCTTGGCTCAAGGCACGATCCCAGGGTCCCAGGATCAAATCCCACATTAGGCTCCTCATGGGGAGCCTGCTTCTCTCTGCCTGTGTCTCTGCCTCTTTCTCTGGGTCCCTCATGAATAAATAAAATCTTAAAAAAAAAAAAAAAACCTAAACAAATCTTACTACAGATAAAAAGGAATATTTTAAAGTATAAAAGGGTCAATCCAAGAAAAAGATGTAACAATTAGAAATACTTAACAGAGAATTAAAATAAAAAACAAGGAACAAATAGGCAATTCACCAAGAGTTGAAAACTTCAATTTCACATTTTCAATAATGAAGAGAACTGGCAAAAAAATTTACAAGAGAAGTACTAAACACATTATACACACCCACATTTGTTTCTAGTAGGGATTAAAACAGAGTATCTTAAGTTGTTAATAAATAATTGTCCACAGAGGCCCAGGTGGCTCAGCGGTTTAGCGCTGCCTTCAGCTCAGGGCGTGATCCTGTCCTGAAGTCCCAGGATCAAGTCCCACGACGGGCTCCCTGCATGAAGCCTGCTTCTCTGTCTCTCTCATGAATAAATAAAATCTTTAAAATAAACAAATAACTGTCCATTAGTTGCCTTGTAGATTTAAGGCTCTCTCTTTGGCAACAACAGTTCAAATTCTTTTCTCAAGTGCTGAAAGGATCAGCAACCAGCCCAGTAATGAGAGCAGATGTCACAGGGCCACAAAAGCAATGGATTTTTATATTCAATTGTAGGAAATTCTAGGAATATCCTTGCTATTAGTAGCTATAGGTAAATTAGCAAACCCTGAATAATGACCCTAGATACAGTTAGCACAAAGTCTGGCTCTACTAACCCCACCCATCTGGCAGGTTTTGCAGTATAAAGAATAGGTAATACCAATATGTTGATGCTGATAAGATGTGGTGGCCCTCACTGGGAGGCAAGCAGCCCTTGTATGTTGACCCTGATAAAGTCCTATGACCAAACTGAGGGAATTCAGAGCCATAATTCACATACTCCTACATCCATCGAGGTTTCCTTGTATGTCATCATGAAAATGGTTTTAAATTTTTTAACTAAAAAAAAAAAAACAAAAAAACTTATAACCCGGACATAGACAAACTTTTTTAAGATTTATTTGAGAGATAGAATGCTCACATACAGGAGCATACATTTATTTGAGCAGAGGGATGGAGAGAATCCTCAAGTAGAGGATCCCTGCTGAGTGTGGAACCTGACACAGGCTCCATCCCAGAACCCTGAAATCATAACCTGAGCCAAAATCAAGAGTTGGCCACTTAACTGACAGAGCCACTCAGGTGTCCTTAGATAAACTACCTTTAGGTTTAACAGTTTGGGGCTTTAAGTTTTATGATACTATTACCATTACTTCCTGCAATAAAACTGGGAAGAAAGCATGTCACTAAAAATTCAAAGTATAAAAAGCTGTGAATAGCAAGCTGTGAATTGCAAAAATAATTTGTGAAGCAGGAAAAAAAAAAAGAAATGGCTGGAGACTACATGTAACAATGCATCTGATTTTCATATAATTTCATAAAGACCTCACCAAGTTTAAAAAAAGATTTGTGAATTTTTTCATTTTATTCTATAACCATATAACACAAAGAATGTAGTTTAAGCAAAAAATTGTCAACCCAGAAGCTTCCTTATTTGTAATTTAGCCTTATGACAGAAATTTACAAAGCAAAAAGAACCCTAAAAATCATAGTTTGGAGGGGCAGCCCTGGTAGCTCAGCAGTTTAGCGCTGCCTTCAGCCCAGGGTGTGATCCTGGAGACCCGGGATCGAGTCCCACATCGGGCTTCCTGCATGGAGCCTGTTTCTCCCTCTGCCTGTGTCTCTGCCCCCCCCCCCCATTTCTGTGTCTCTAATGAATAAGTAAATAAAGTCTTAAAAAAAAATCATAGTTTGGAGAAATAATCATATTTAATATCTATCCTAAACAAATGCACAATGAACACAACTCTAAGAAAAAGGATCTGTTATATTAGGGTTTGCCATGGCCAGGCCTACTATAAATCAGATAAAATAGTAAGAATGAACAGGACAAACTAAGCCACATCAAGAATTGTTCCATTTCTAATGTGCCCCACAAACCAAAGTTTATTTGGAGTATCTATTGATGTGGTTAAACTGAGGAAAGCCAGTATTTTTCACTGAAAAACTAATTAGCATTTTAAAAAGCTTAGAAATACTTCTATAACATCAACAAAACCACAAACACCAACACTTCAGTGGAAAAGACACTTTTCAGGAATGCCAAAAGTATCGTGATTTACTTAACCTATTCTAGCTCTGGCTGTTTGTATCCTTAGTCATGTGATAAATTAGGCTATTAACCCTTGAATTAGGCTTTCAAAAGTATTCTAAGTTTTGTGTTATTTATAATGCAACTCTACAAATAACAGCTAACATTTGAGAATTTACCATATGTTAAGAACTGTCTGTGCTGAATGCTTTAAATACATTATCACATTCAACTGACAGAACAAATGAATGAAGCCAGGCAGGAGTGCAGTGGCTAGCAAGAATACAAGTCCCACTATCACTGCTGTTAACTCTCCATAGTGCCAGAGAAAGGCAACAAGACTATAATTTCATGTGCAACTTATTACTTACACAAACAGAAAAACCAAGATTAGTGTCCCTATTCCCAGAAGGTGATACCAAAGTGGTTGAGAATACAGGCTGCCAAGGAGCCAATTCAGAAACAACCATTTTATAGCCTACTGCTCTATCCCAAGGGTAAGGGAAGTGGTAAAGTCCAGTGCTCAACTGACACACTGGGGCACAGAAAAAAACTATCCTTGAGGCCATTTTTCACAAGTGTTCTTATCAACCTTTTCCCAGGAAGACAAGCAGGGTGTCCTGCCAAGGTATGGGTTAGACAGAGATTAGGCTTTGCCTGTTCAGCCCATGACAAGACAAAGGTAATCAGAGTACCATAGTAAAGCTGCCCCCCCCCCCCACAACTCTACCCTCCACCTTTTGTGTCCAGCTACAAATTCTATTCAGACACTCCATCAAATACCCTAACTGTACTTTCTATCAGGCAATATTTGAAAAGTGACTTGACCCTGACCCTTGGCGGGATGATCAGGCCTTTTGTGGAGGTCAGACCACAACCAAGTTCCCCACGCCGAGCCAAGCCAGTGAACTACGTCCCAGGTATCATCGAGGTTCACCAATGACAGCCACATGGCTTTCTCCCTGGAAGAACAAGGGAGTGGGAACAGCTCTACTTTTGCTGACGGATTAATCTAGGTACAGCATGGGGTGCTGGCAGTCATATATATCCCATAATGACTGGCCAGTCCCAAGTCCAGAGCAATGCATCTGACTATCATTCAGGTTACAAAGTTTACACTTTCCTGTGTCTCTAGAGCTGAGGTCAGAGACAAATTTCAGATTTCATTTATAGTTGTATTATATCCTACAGTGGGAATTAATGATTCCAGAGCATACATGAAAAAGTCAGTTATCTTTCCTTCAAGTGCTGCCTAGTAACTCATTTTAGAGTGCTCCAGGTATCCACCTCAAAGAAACAGGAATCATTAGAGGGGTAATGGTCTCAAATACCTAGAAATCCCCGACAAGTGCCTCAAGTATACATGAGCAGTTTGCCAGGCAAGTATAAGGAACCTAAGATGAAACATGCCTTTGGAGTACAAAGTTTAAGTATTGCTATTACAATAGGAGTGAGCCAATTCTGTGCCTCTTGAGGTAGACAAACTCTATGAAAAGAACTAAACAATTGCCGTAAAGCAGGCACAATTGCCCTGAAGAAAAATCTGAAAACTTTTACACCCTGTTAGTTACCTCTGTCATTATAGGCAACATTCTATTGTCTACTCTGGTTGTCTGAGGTTTAGAGTTGCAAGAACTTTTAACAGAGGCATTTCGTTGGCATGGAGTTAAGATTCAGATTTTATAAAATTAAAGGTTGAGATTAATAATGCAAGGGGATCTGAAGTACCCAAAGAGACCTATTGGACAGAATC